AAGAAGGAATATTAAGACATCACCAAGATGTCAAAGGGGAGGAGGGATACCAATTTTCCAAAAGAAGAGGACAACTCTCACCTGGAGCTGTGTTTTCGAAATCTCGCCTCCTTGAAGCCATACATAACTGTCTATTTGTGCATTTTGGAGACGCTTATTCGTGGATGATTAAATATTACCCTGGACTGACATGATCTATGATTACAGGGCGCTATTGATGCTCATGAAGAAAAGGGAGCTGAATACTAGGTTGGTCGTGGTGACGAAACTATCGTCAAAACGGTATTTGTTCCTCTACTTGGGTGTGTCTGTTTTGTTAAACAGAAGATCGGCGAGGTCGCACCATTAAGGTTTGAGCTTCAGGCAGATTGCTGCAGCTGCGTTCACTACATACACAGATGATGTGCCATGGTTATCGTGTGCCATGATCAAAACAAGGCAGCTCCTCCAGTGCCGAACTGCGTACCGATGCAAAGGCTCATAGACGATTTAGCCGATGCTCCTCACAATTGGTACTGCTAGTTTGTCGCTATTATTACTTTGGTTAGTAGGGCCAGTGACCAAGAACGGAACGGGTACAAAGTACTTTTCGACCGAGACTTCGTCTCGGAATACACTGTGCCAGTGGGAGGAGGACCTTGCTCTACAAGCGGCTTGAAGACAAGCAAGACACCACGTCTCGCGCGACGACGAAAATCGGGATCCCTGATGAAGGGCAGATCTGAGGCGGATAATTCGTCACAAGAGCGCAAGAAGAACCATCAAGAAACGACGACATATGGAAACTACCGAGGAGAAATCTCAAAATCTAACCATGAATCAATCTTGCCAAACAAGGCATTGTTGAGAAGAAATAATTACTCTTTGATTTGCGGTTTGCCTTTCAGGCGAGAAATTCTGTCCGCCAAAGAAGACTGTTGGTTATGATAACTGTGGCTGATGATAGCCGTGATGAAACCATATACGGGTACTTCTCGCAGGTAACGAGGACCAACAGCAGACGCAGGCGGCAAGCTTCTGTTGGCTCCCAGCAAACAAAGCCCCGCATGCCAGGTCATATCGAAGACCGAGTACTCCTGTGTATCGACTGACTTGAAGGGGGAGACTTCGAAGCCCGATTTTGCGGCTTGGCAGCGATGGCTTACGCAGATTGTACCGCGGGAGGTATCGAGGGTAGATATCAAGGTTAAGGCGGTTTTCGAGGCGTTTTGCTATCTTTTGTTCACAGTTCCAGTTGAGATATGGACAACGCTCCCTCCAAACGGCTATAAATGACTTACCTCTTATGTCACTTCAACTAGGTAGATCTCCTGAGCCACAATATCTAGCAGTGGCTAGAATAAAACAGAAGGTTGTTACCAAGGTTGTACTTGGGTCATACAAGATATACTACACACCAGCTTTGAACGCAGCTGACTGGAGATCTGAAAGTGCAAGTCTAGGGCGGTAGATTTGACAAAACGTATACTGAAAGCTCCTTCCAGTAAATAGAGTGACAAAATCCAGAAGGGCACCTGGCGGCAACGGGCAACAATGTATGTTGGCTGTTCGTCGCTGTGACCTTCAGGGCTAGAAGTTGAGAATACAAATATGTACACTCCCGCCCAACTGAGGGTTTGGCCAAGTGTCAAGATACTGACAAACTACTACAACAGAAATACTGGCGCTTGAGTTAGATGTTGTTGGAGGAGATGGAGTATTGCGAAGCATGTCAATGATTTGGAAATGGACAGGAAGACACTGTGTGACGAATCAGACAAAATAGGAGCCTTCTGTTCCCCGCTCATTTGCTTACTTTGGCGTCGTATCTCCTTGGGTCGTATACGCCCCCGCTTAGGAGCTATGCTAGAATGAGCAACTTTATTGGTAGACAAAACCGCTTGGTCTGATCACATTAGCCATCACGTTTGTTCCTTTTTTCCAGCCCCAGCCAAGTAACGGAAATGGCGACGATCAACCGACGCTTTGACCCCACATTTCTTTCTCTAACTCCCAACGTTGGCGAGGTTGAATATCAACCCAAAGCAAAGGGCGGGAGCAAATCTGAGTGTATTTATATGATCTATCTCTATGCCAAGGTAATGGTTGTGATGGTAGTTGTGGTCAGAAGAGACCACGTAGACAGAGGTGGCGAATGTCTCAACATCTTGCCAATGATCCTTATCTCGAGAATGTGCTTCGTTTATTTTTTTCAAATCCCGAAATTCCCAGGCAAGTCAAACAATCGAACGCCACCCGGAGGCATAGCTGAACTGAACCCCCTGCCACCAATGACAAGTCTACGGATATTGATTTCGCGGGGAATGTTCCACTCCAGCTGCAGTAGCTCAAGACGCTATAACGGTAGTGGCATAACTGCACCCCTTTGATCCAATCGCTTCCTGCAGAATTGTGCAGAAACTTGGAATAGGAGCATAGAGCAGCAGGCACTACTCGAAGCTGGTGTCTCAATTTCCCCGCCCGGTTACCTTGCTTCGCCTTCAGCTTCAGCCCTCGCTGCAATAACGTGACCTCAATGAGTCTCCCAGATCGTAGTTGCTCTTTACTCTTCTTCACTGGCTCCCATAGCTTTTGACGACCACCATGCTGTCCATAGCTAGTCTTCTCGTTGGACTTCTTTCCGCCTACTTTTTCTACGTCCTTCTTCGACCGAAGAAAGCATCAGCACCACTACCCCCAGGCCCTCCTCCCAAGCCCATTATCGGCAATCTCAATGACCTCCCGCCGCCCGGTTCCAAGGATTGGAAGCATTGGTTGGACCATAAGGGAAAATATGGTATATTCCCATTCTATACTCTTCTAATAGGGCGGCACTCAATGCAATAACATTTAACTCTAGGCCCAATCAGCTCCATCACCGTCTTCGGACAAACACTTGTTGTCCTGAATGATCCCGACATGGCCCTGGAAATGTTGGAAAAGCGTTCTGCAAAACACTCCTCCCGGCCCCATCTTCCCATCGCAGATCTGTTAGCCTCACAGACTCAACTACCACTCTAACAGCGACATAAGAGCTAACTTGCACTCCTAGATCCGGATGGGACAAGACATTAGGCCTCCTCCCCTACAACAACCGGTTCCGCGCCTATCGGAAAGCCACGTACCGCGAACTCGGCTCGGCCAGCGCAGCAGCTAAATTCGATGGAATCGTGGATAAAGAAGTGACCCGGTTTCTTCTGCGCATTATTCAGTCACCGAATGATCTGGTTCACCATCTACGCAAGTAGGTTCTGCAGCCTGCCGGAAGTTGTTCTATGTCTAAAACTTATATAGAGAGGCTGGAGCGATCAACCTCCGCATCGCATACGGATATACCATCGAGCCACATGCGAGAGATCCCCTGGTTGACCTGGTCGACAAGGCCATGGATGACTTTTCTCAGATCGTTCTTCCAGGAGCTTGGCTGGTTAACTTTGTTCCTTTGCGTTAGTTGCCACCATCTTTTGGACAACTTAAATACTGACTTTGCAGTGAAATACCTTCCCACCTGGTTCCCAGGAGGAAAAGAAAAGCGGACAGCCAAAGAATACAAGGATAGACTGACCATTATGCACGACAAGACCTATGACTTCGTGAAGAACCAAATAGCCCGAGGCATCCATCAGGCATCGTATGTCTCTGGCCTGCTTGAGAAGGACACCGTTCTTCCTGGCTCTGAGGAGGAGATTGTGGTGAAATACTCCGCTGGGGCTTTGTACGGCGGCGGTGCTGATACGGTGCGTTCAATCCTGATGAGCATCACCATATTCTCTCTGACCACCTTAGACCGTCTCTGCCTTGTCCTGCTTCTTCATGGCTATGGCACTCAACCCGACAGTTCAGAAGAAGGCCCAAGAAGAAATTGATCGGGTCGTAGGAACATCGCGACTACCCGACCTCTCCGACCAGGATAGTCTCCCCTACATCAACGCCGTAGTCCAAGAAGTGTTTAGATGGCACCCCGTCACCCCTCTCAGTGTATCGCACGCTTCCAGTGAAGAAGATATCTTCAACGGCTATTATATCCCCAAGGGCGCCATCCTCGTTCCCAACGTCTGGTACGCATCCCTTCTCCCTTCCCTTCCTCAGAAGTCATACCTAACACAAAATAGGGCCTTCACCCACGACCCAACCAGCTACCACAACCCGGAATCATTCAACCCCGATCGGTTCCTGGGTGCAACCCCCGAGCCAGACCCCCGGTTATACGCCTTCGGATTCGGGCGACGGATCTGCCCTGGTCGCTTGCTCGCTGAGAAGAGTATCTATCTTACTGTCGCGCGGGCACTCGCGGTACTGAATATCCGAAAGGCAGTACGGAATGGCAAGGAAGTTCCTATTCGGGTGGAGTTTTCTTCAAGCACCATTAGTCATCCTGTCCCTTTCGAGGTGGATTTGAAGCCGAGGAGCAAGAAGCATGAGGAGTTGGTGAGAGCGGTGGAGAGGGAGTTTCCGTGGGAGGAGAGCCATGCGAAGGAGTTGGGAATTTGAGAATGTATGGGACAGGCAGTAGAGCGGGTTGGAATGTGAGAAGAAACATATCTGTCTGCTTGAGGGAGGTACATAACTAGTGAGCTGAGAAGGATTGGTTCACTGCGGTCAGGGCTGCTACGATTGTGGGACTGCATGAATTAATGAACACGCTTGCGTCTATCTGCAAGCTAGCACTGGTATCCTTGTTTTCGTTGCCTAGCATGATGCAGCCATCAAATGACGGAATAAATGGAATAAATGGAATGAAATGCAATGTCCCTTGCTTAGAGCTCCATCGGACCCGATCTGCGATTCAACGGAACGGTCCGACCGGATCCATTCTCCGCGCGATCCGGTCTGCGGCCATGTGGGGAAGTTATTGGAGTGCAAACGGAAGGTTTCACTGCAGAAGGCACCATAGCGTATGAAAACACCAAAATGCCACAACCATCAAGGTAGATGATGCAGGTTTTGTTAAAAAGGTGAGAGTGAGGTTCGGTGATAAAGGAAGCAGAAGTGAGATAGGAAAAAGTCGGGCAAAAAAGAAATGCCCCCACGCGGGATTGAACCACGGACCTCTTGATAACCGTAGAGGAGTACAAGTCAAGCGCTCTACCACTGAGCTATAAGGGCGGTTCTTACAAATTTGTTCTGAAGTAGATGTCTATGTACGGAGACAGGCCAAGGTACCTGATCTGTGAGTAACCATGCTCAACTGTTGGATCAACGATAACATACTTATGACATTGCGTTATGTTATTTTCTGGAACTTATCTAGTTCTCATAGTACATTATAGGAAGTAGTTCTAGCTGACATTGTGTTGTAATTATGGCCTAGTCTCGGTGCTTATCCTTCTCAAGACACGCTGTCAGATCTGTTTCCACTTCGACGGAGGATCGCACTGGCTTGCTCCAAATATAGGTAGGTATATCAGCCACGATCGGTGTCAGGCGACCATAAGAGGAGTAAATCGTTGGAGGGCTCGGCAATATTTTATTCTAAAATAACCCTTTTCAATACACGGCAGTAGTACAGCAGCCACAGTTTGTACTAGTAGCCTGGGCATGCTGCGCTCGGTAGAGTTGTAACGTCTGATGATTAATATATACCTCGTTCAATTGACCGATAGAAATACCGAAAGTCGACATTTTAGTATCAGGTTCTGTTAGACTCAGGGTCTACAGACAACAAAAGGTAGGTCTTAGCCGTCAGCTTACGGGTTCCCGGATGACTGCATTGCATACTCCGTACAAGCCAGGTCATCTGCGACGCGCCGGCATATGACTTGGCATAAAATAAGCTTTGATCAAGCTCATCGTATGAGTGTATGCTATTTTAAGCCGTCGGTAAAGAAGACTTATTGGCCTTTCCAAATCAACTTTTCCTCGTTGGTCTTCCTCCTGTGGGGATATATCCGCCGTCACCACTGTAAAGAAGTGGCTTAGACGTAGCAAAGACTATACACAGCCTGGCTTCCGGCCTAATTCTATAGTTATTTTGTAGTCTAATATAGTAACACCATTTAAAAGATACCCCGATGCACCCAATACTCCTATACTACCCACTGTGATTGGTCGCAAATACGAGTGGGACGCCTGATGTCTCAGAGCCGCGGCGGGACTCTACCAACGATGTACCGCGACCCTATTTACAGTGGCGGAGTGAGCTGCCTGAAAAAAGCAAGCAGCATGAACTGCCTTTGCTAGTAGATATGAGGTGAGGTAATCTCATCGGCCACAGTGGAATACTAGTAGCGACTGTGGTATATATAAACCCTTCTCCGTCCCCACCAAATTCAAAGTAGCATTATCACATTTATTACATATTCACATCCCTCTTGTATCTCTCCTCAGATAGTACCAAACCAGCTTTCACCATGAAGTCCATCCTCCCCCTCACCCTCTACGCAGCTACTGCCCTTGCCCAAGGGATCTCCATCAAGTCCCCCGCCGCCGGCACGGAGCTTAAGGCCGGAGAAAATGTCACAGTGCAGATAGTCCGTCCGGTACGTTTTCCCAGTCCCCTCCTATACATCTTTTCATATCTTCCCTATACAATTGACTTATGATAAACTCATCATTCTTGAACTAGATCTTCATCGAAAACGTCGTCGAAATCGGCATCGCCATCGGCATCGAACCCTGCTCCGAATCCTCAGGATGTCCTTCCCCCGACTCTGCCATCGGAAACCTCCTCTACAGTGGCGCTTTTGATCCGCAGACCAATGGACCTGGTGGCCAATATGAGAACTTTACCGTCACGGTGCCGGATTTGACTGGGGCTGCGCAGATTGGTGTGGTGAGGCCGTTTTTGGTTGGGGTGAGTTTGCTTCATCATTGATTCCTTGATAGTGCTTTGATGGTGGACTGTGCTGATGTGTGTAGGATTCGTATGAGTTTGTGGTGGGTACTGCCACTACGAATGTTACGATTTCTTGAGGGGATGAGGTGGTGTGATGGTTTTGTGGTAGACTACATGAATGTGTGGTGGATGATAGATGGATGGGATGGCGGAGATGGAGTGGAGACGCAGTAATGGATACGTTTATAACGTACATTAGTCTATCATCGTTGTTATGATCTACCTTTGAACTTATTAGTAGATCTTCCTATTGATATTTTTTCTTTCCAAATTTACAGCAATAAAGGACTCTGTATCATAAAACTCAATGTGCCATCAGATCCGAACCCCTCGCACCCTCCATACCCAACCATATACAGAAACCAAGCACCGACACCCTCACCAGCCCAACCAACACAAACCCCCTATCCCGCCCTCTCACTAAACACAACCCTCAAATCCCCCAACGTCGCCACAAAAGTATCTACAGTCTCCTCTTGAAACCTCCTCCCATCCTCCCCCTCCGCCAACCGCACATCAAACCTCCCAAACAACATCGCCACCACAACCCTCAACTCACTATACGCCAACCCCTTCCCAACACAACTATACGCACCACACTGAAACGGGATATACGCTGCTTTATTGATAATCCACTCCGGCTTCTCGTCCGTCCAGCGCTCGGGAACGAACTCCCCGGGGTGTCGATGATACCGGGGGTCATTTTGAATGGGTAGAGTCGGTACACTGACTAGTGTATCTCCTGGGATGAAGGTCGAGGTGCCTTGATCGTTGGGAATGTAGATTCCTTCGGGTGGTGTCTTGCGCTGGACTCCACCGTGTACTGGGGGTTGAATGCGGAGGGCTTCGTTGACGCAGGCGTTCAGGTAGGGCAGGGAGGATATAGAGCGGTAGTAGGTATCTTCGGGGAGTTCGGTGGGGGGTGGTAGTTCTGTTTGGCGTTTTGCTGTTGCTGCATCTAGTTCGGCTTGGAGTTTGCGTTGGAGGGATGGGTTCCGGGCGAGGTGGTAGATGATGACGCTTATGGTGACGGAGCTGGTGTCTCTATTGATAGTTAGATCTGAAGGGAGACTTGAAAGATGAATGGTGGTGACACACCCTCCAGCAATAACAAGCAGTTCGCCCTCACTGTACAATGCCTTCTCGGATAGATCGCGCATGGACGGCAGCATCCTCGTCATGATATCTTCACCGGGTACTTCGTTCCGCTCTGCCTGCTGCCGCTTCTCATGAATGCGATGCTGGATCCATGTCCCATATTCTCTGATAGCCCCACCAGCACCCGGCAGACTCATCAGTAGACTAATCAGCCACGGCGTATGAACCATGACGTGCTGACCGGCTCTTATGTTCTTGATAAAGTGTAAACTAGGATTCAACTCCCATCTCTCAATATTGTTGAACGAGTGGCCCCACCCGACGACTCCCATGATGTCGTAGCTGAGAAGCTGCATCGTACTGGGGATGGTAAGTGGTTCGTTACTACGTTGCGCCAGAGCATCTAAAAACTTCTCCGTCGTGCGTATGACCATAAGTTGGTATGATTTCAGCGCTATCTTTCAGTAAGCACAATGTGAATTATCCAACAGAGAAAGATATTCACCCACCCCGCCCGCTAAACACCTTATCCCAAAGAGCCTTCCTCCGCTTTGCATGCACAACCGGATCTCGCATATGGAATATCGCATAATCATGCGTGAAGTCACCCGAGCCCTTGAGGCGATCGTACCACGGGCCACGGGTACATTTGCTTGATGGACCGTAGATGATATCGATGGCGTCAGCTGACAGGATGCTGAGTTCCTGGGGTCCAGTACGGACGATGTCTCCGTATTGTTTGTGTAGGTTCCATACGCGCTCGAAGTTTCGGTTTTTTGAGAGGTTGTTGTAGCTGGTGACGAACTTGGAGAGTTTCAGAGAAAATGGTCCAGGGAATTGGTGCAGACGATGGAAGAAGGCGCGGTATATGAGGATCGAGGCGAAGAGGGGGATGTAGAAGCAGAGGTTGAGTATGGAGATGGTACTGATACCTAGGGTCCATGCGTAGATGCTTGTCCAGGTTCCGTGGTGGTTGATGATGGTGAGTAGGGCTAGGGTGTTCACGATGTGGTTGGCATACACCCAGACACGGCCCTCCTTGGCGCTGCGCTCCCCACGCGACCAGTAGAAAAGGTGGGCGCTTATCCCGGCGACTGCCAGGAGAGGGCCTTTATCCCATACGGTGTCGAGGAGGTCGACGAAGGAGGCCATTGTGTCTACCCTGGTGTTGCTGGGTCATCATGGTTGCTACTCATATATATAGGATGTATAGGTCAGTGCTCTATGAAGGATACGAGGTCATAAGCACTAGTTCCGACTCGCCAATCAGGTACTATCCTGTTGATGTCGCTATGAGCTTCTATGGAACATATCATCCATCGATATTGATGATTCGTATGCCATAGCTTTTCTGGATTTGTTTGGACTGATGATTGGATGCTCCGTCTAATGTAGCCCCGCTTCTTGAGACTGAAGCTCTGTGCACTCTGATGCATAGCAGATGATTTGCTTCAGAGTTTCTATGGTATTGAAATGCAAAGTAGTCCTGGCAAGCCTGGCAAACCATCTTTATACTCGATGGAAGCCCTCATAACAGATATACTGCTTGGGATTGCTAGATTAATAAGGACTTGGTTCAATAACAAAGACACATAAGGTAGTAAATTCTATAAGTTACTTCGTGATGTAGCATCAAAGTCGCACGAATAACAAGATACTTCACACCATGTAATTCTCCATTATCTAATACGAATCATAACGTTACCGCTAGAGTCGGCCACCCAAGTGATACCATACAAATCGCCTTCTTCATGATAGGATATGTGTTTTGTAGTCAGGTATCAGCAGTGATGATTGCGCCATCGTAATCTAAAAAGAGCATTCTTTTCCCGGCCTCACATGACGGCCGACTCGGGCGGGACCTATATAAGAACAATCCATGATTGTCAGCTCAGTGACGTGGAAGAAAGAGAGACAGCTGATGCTTACCTTGCAGCAGCCACTCACAGTTGTGGCTGCATTAGGAGCTGCGCTTTGGCCCGCTCTTAGCAATTAGAGAGTGGTTGTCATAAGTGTCGTACAGACAAGCTTAATTTACATATTGATTATTTGAGGCCTAGTAAGATATTGCCAATGAAAGAGATTGGAAGAAGATATTACAAAGAGAACAGAAATCGGTTTTAAGTGGGAATTTATGAGGGACCAATTCTACAGTTATGCGAAAAGGCTAAAG